CATCAGCTAAATAACCCCACAGACATCTGCTACATCAGCTAAATAACTCCAAAGACATCAACTGCATCAGCTATATATCCCCAAAGACATCTGCTATATCAGCTAAATAACTCCACAGACATCAGCTACATCAGCTAAATAACCCCACAGACATTCTACAAGTGACTCACTTTTACAGTCAACACCGTTCAAGATGGCTGCCACACCTACGTAATCTCTGCAAACACAAAATGTTTGTCATACAGTCAACTTCACAGATAATGTGGTGTAGTCGTAGCTGAGCGTCATCCCCAACACATACACTGAGCCTTAACTAATCACACAACAATTGTCTGTTTGTTAGCAAAATATCTCATGAACCACTGGATGGACTTGAATGAAACCTAAAATAAATATTGTTTTACAGCTATAGCCTGATTCAAGATGGCTGCCACAGCCAACAGATCTCAGTGAACACAAATGGCTGTAACTCAGCCAGTTGTACAGATGTTTGGCTAAAACTTGGCATGTTAGTAGCTGAGAGTCATCCCCAACACATTCTCTGAGTGCTCCATTTTGAACAAAACCTGTGCCTAAAAAATGACATGATCAGCTGGCACTGAGTCGATTTGTTAGTAAAATATCTCATAGACCAGTGGTCAGACTTGAATGGTTATTGAATGGTTATAAGTAAAATGGCTGCCAGAGCTAATCAACATCACCCAGCACACAAGCACCTCAGTGAAAGTCTTGGTGTGGTAGTAGCTGAGAGTGGCAGGATGTTATTTACAGGTTCTGATGAAAACATAAATACAGATAAATAACGTTAATAATTAAATTTTTATGTGTGTGAATGTTTCTGTTCAGTGCTGAGACGACTTCTGTTGGGACTTGGAGCTACAGACAGAAACTGAAATGAATTGAACCTGTCACCTCTACAACTCCCATGAAAGCTGGCAGGTGCCAAGCATTCCTCTGAAGCATGCTGAGGATTTAATCCTGGACAATAATCTCATTTTAATGTGATTTTCTCGGGACAAACACATGGAGAGTTTCACCTCTCAAAGGTCCGTTAACTGCCACAGTGACCCTGAAAAACGGCCCACCAACTCTCAGCTCGGCTTCTGTTCATGCGTGATGTTTCTAATCCCATGCTGTGAGATTACAGCATATCCAGCAGGGTTCAGATTAGCCCATTGATCTGAAGCTGTGATAATCTCAGCCCACCACAGTTTTATTTAGGAACTGGGTACTAAAGAAAACTGGCACCACCAGAAGCCCAGATCGGTTTGGACTCTGGGTTCATCTGGAGCTGAGACTGGTGCATATGGTCGACAACAAACCAGCCGACGTCACAGCCCCAGAATTCCTGCTGACCTAACTCGACTTCTCACATCTCAAGCCAAGATACTTTTCTAATTCTTATTTCGAGTGTGACTAAAGTGGATCATGTCGTTCTGTCCAGGACTCAAAATAAGAGTGAGCAGCAGTGCACTGTGGGAGATTAAAGCACTGGCACAGCATTTTAAACCAGCACAACAAGTGCTGCGGTTATTATTCCAGAATGATTCTCTTAATCTTTCAAAAGTCGCCTTTGTCTTCCGACAAAATGACTTTTTATCTCTTCACTGTGAAATATTTGACTAACAGAAACACACGGCCAGTGCTTCATGTGATATTTGACAGAAACAGCCAGTGGTTCACGAGATACTTGACTAACAGACACAGCCAGTGCTTCATGAGATATTTGACTAACAGACACAGCCAGTATCCTGATGCATGCTCAATAATCCAGGTAGAAAAATCCAAAAAAGTTCAATCTGGTCCTCTGGACATTCAAAAAAAACAAAAACAAAACAAAGCAAAAAAATCTAGAAACGTTTCGTCTCTCATCCAAGAGACTTCCTCAGTCTGAGGTGCTGTTTTCAGCTCAGTCTCTTAAAAGGCCACACCTAGTCTGTATGGTTTACCTAAAATCCACAAACAAGGTGTTCCTTTAAGACCAATCGTTAGCATGATTAACTCTGTCACTTACAATGTTTCCAAATATCTGGCGTCTGTACTCATCCCTTTCGTTGGCAGCTCAGAACACCACATACAGAACACCATGGACTTTGTGGATAAGGTGAGGGATGTCATCATGGAGACTGATGAAACAATGGTCTCTTTTGATGTCACATCACTCTTTACGTGCATTCCTGTTGATGATGCAGTAGAGGTGGTAGTTTAAGATTCAAATCAGACACCACTCTGAGCAGCAGGACCACGCTTTCCACAGAACAACTGTGTCAACTCTTGAAACTGTGCCTGCAGTCAACCTACTTCACATATGGGGAGCAATATTATAGGCAGAAACATGGGTGTGCTATGGGGTCTCCAGTTTCTCCTATTGTTGCCAACCTGTACATGGAGGAGGTAGAAAAGAGAGCCTTGACGTCCTTTTCAGGGACACCACCAAGTCATTGGTTCAGGTATGTTGATGACATCTGGGTTAAAATTAAATCTCAGGAAGTCCAACATTTTACTGACCACATCAACTCTGTGGATAAATACATCAAGTTCACACGAGAAGATGTAAAAAATGGCAAGTTGGCTTTCTTGGACTGTGAGGTCTCAGTCTCTGATAGAGGACATTTGCAAACCGAGGTGTACCACAAACCCACCCACACAGACCAGTATTTGCAGTTTGACTCCCATCACCCTTAGGAGTTATCAAGACTCTGTACCACAGAGCAGACAGCATCCCCACTAGCTCAGGAGCCAGGCAGAAGGAGAAATCCCACACAAGACAGGCTCTAGAGCAATGTGGATATCCTAACTGGGCCTTCCTGAAAGCAGAGAAGAAACCCAAACAGGACTCCAGTCAGCCATCAGGTGAAAAGGAGGAACCCAGACCCAGACCAGTGGTCATTCCATATGTTGAGGGAGTATCAGAGAAACTGAGACGTTTATTTTCTAAACATAACGTCCCAGTGGCTTTTAAACCCCAAAATACATTAAAGACTGGTTCATCCCAAAGATCCAGTCCCCCGGCACAAACAGAGTAATGTTGTGTATGTTGTTCAGTGTCAGGAGGGTGATCAGTCTTACATCAGGGAAACTAAACAGCCACTGGCCAAAAGGATTGACCAGCACAGAAGATCAACATCATCAGGCCAGGACTCTGAGGTCTACACTCATGTCCAGGCCAGCGGTCACTCTTTCAGGGATGAAGATGTTCATATCCTGGACAGAGAGGAACGATGGTTTGAGAGAGGAGTAAAGGAGGCCATCTTTGTGAAAAGAAATCGTCCATCATTAAACAGGGGTGGAGCCTCCAGGTTCAACTGTCCCCCTCTTACAATGCTGTGATTGCTAGTATCACTCAGCCCTCTGTGAACAGTAAACAGCCATCAGGTGCTAATGATCCATTGTTAGGCTGATGGTCCTTCTTGAGCATGTGATCAGCTGGTTCTGGTTGTCAGCAGCAAAACTGGTTGATCCACTCTGAGAAGGTGCTATTTAAGAGACTGAGCTGAATACAGCACCTCAGACTGAGGAAGTCTCTTGGATGAGAGACGAAACGTT